CAGTCATGAATCCATATTGTTCTTTTGCTATTTCTGGTCTGATCTTGTTTTTCATGCGCATCATAAGAACCTTGAGCAGAATCTTTGTCACATGACTCATGAGACTGATTGTGCGATGAAGTTCACATTCAGTAGCTCCAGACTTTTTTGGAAGGGCTATGAATATTGATTTGGTCAGGTCTTCTGGGATTTCACCTGTGTCATATATTTTGTTTATTAATTTTGTCATGACATCAACACCTAGTTCATCGAGACTTTGAATCATTTCGACGGATATTCCATCAGGACCAGTTGCTTTGTTTGTTTTCATTGATTTTATAGCTTGTCTCACTTCGTCTTTCATAATCGAAGGCCCTTCTATATTTTTCTTTATGTTAGGTTTAGGCAACCTATTATCATCAAAGAGTTCTCCTATATATTCTGACCATCTGTTCAGTATGTTAAATACTACTGATTCTTTATTGGATAATATTTTCTACGTTTCGAGAAGACATAAGTAATCAAGAGAAATACATAAGTAAACTTTAAATGTGCAACTAAACATAACTACACCACTGAGATTTTGATTGAGAGAAAATTCATGAAAGAAATAGACAAGGAAAAGTAAGAATGTAGTAAAAAGAAACCTAGTTTTCTCTATGGTTCTTGTTCAACTTCACCACCAGGACCATCATTTTTTGCTCGAGAGAGTTCTATATGTTCTCAAAATCGAAAAAGTACCGCTCGGTTACCGTTCAGTACCTCGGCCGCTATAACGGTAGCAAAATCGAAATTACCGCATGGTCACCGTTGGCTTTGCCGCCGGTATAACTAGCGGTACTATCTGGTATTTTGTCATTATGAACAAGTTGAACGGGGGTTCGTATCTAGTTTTCAATTTTCTTTTTATTTTGTTGAGCGTTTGCAAGCGCAGAGAGGGTCTCGACTGTGTGAAATTTTGTCTCGAGTCGAAGTTTAAACTTCGACGTGTCTATATGATCAAAAAGAAATTAATCTGAAAAAATAAATCAAGGTTTTTGCATTTTTCTGTGTTTCTTATATGTACTGAACAAAACAAAACCGTGAATGTATAAAAACGGTTACCGTGCGGTATTTTTCTGTACCATCTGTTAACCGTACGCCGTACGGTATGCCAAGCAGTATAATTAACCGACGGTAATTTGTTGAACCGATGGTATTTTAAAAAAAGCTCGACATAGGTGGTCTGGAGAGACAATCAAAGGGACAGATGTCGCAGTATTGTTGAGGCGAGGATTATTTGCAATGATAGAGAGAGATCTCTTTAACTAACGATCATATTTTCTGTTGAACCAAGATCAACGACTCGCCAACTATTCCAGTCGATAGTGTCCAGTTTCTTCACAATGTTTGTGAATAACAGAATTTTTCAAAGAATCCAATTTTCCATTAGAAGATGTTTCAGAATCAGCATACTCCTTTAACGTACTCATATGAGATATTTGTTCTTAGATACGAGCTATTGCCTTAGTTTGTAGTATTTAAAACGAAGGCTAGTAGTAATGTCAATATAATTAGACGATAAAGCGTTTGATGAAAATGAATGAGCAGATAGTAAAACTTGTCTGTCTTATCTTTCAAATTAAAGAATGATTGAACAGTGTTGAACAGGTCTACGTTTTCTTAGGAGATCTCTAAAACTCATATTCGTTGGTTTTCGTTGGAAGATAGCTTCAATTATTCTTTGCAAAACAAGAATCTTTCTGCCTCGTAATTTTTTGCCATTTGGCTGTGTCATTTTCCAGGTGTACCAGATTACTTGTGAAAATTATAAAAGCTTGAAATACTTGGAGCTATCTTCCAACGAAAACAAACGAATATATTCACACCTGAATTTTTGTAGAACTAGAGTGATTTTCTAGAGATCTCCTAAAAACCTAATTTCCAAAAACATTTCAAATATTTTCTGTTGGCAAAAGATGCAATTAGTCTTCTCTCTTAAATGACAAAAAACGACAACTTTTATCTGTTATCGTTCTCGAGTTATTCAAAAACAGTCATAGGCCATTCTATTCTGAAATTGATACGAGTAATAAATCACCGGAATGGTAAAAATGGATGAATCTATATACAGTATAAAATGAATGAAGTGAGAATAACTATAGTCACATGAAAGTTAACTGCAAATGATGTTGAACGGTTTATTATTACTGGATTTATCGTCGTTAGTTTATTTGACGTGGTGATTGTTCTATCATGTTGATCGCAATAAGTTTGACAACTATTTTCAATCGCTTCCCACTCTTGATGACAAAGTTTTGATACATGAGTAATATTTACAAGTTCTAAACCTTTCCATTCGGTTGGCTGTGCACATCGTGAAAACAGGGAAAATTCAATAGGTGGACGTCTTAAGTCTCCTCGTATATAAGCCATATCAATGTGACGTCTGAGTTCAGGTTTTAACCATTGTTCCAAATTTGTATCGATTTGATTATCATCGTCATAAACTTTATTTAGTAATAAACGATAAATATCACCGTATTTTAAATAAAACATTGAACAGCTGCAGTAGAGTGGATTATCCATGAGGGAAAGACGTTTCAATGATGGTAATTGATCAAAATTACATACATCTAATAATTGAATGTTTGAACTAACCAAATCAATATCAGACAACGAATGAGCGCCACAAAATGTCTTCTGTAATGGAAGCGACATATCTAAATACGATAAAAGCTGAGAATATGTGGTGATTATACAGAACGTATCAAACAGCTAATAGAACACATGTTTTCACGTTCGCAGCCATGAAATTTTCTTCTCATTCAACGAACTTACCTCTTTAGTCCTCCTTGAAAAGTCTATTAGTTAGTTCTCAAAAATCGTTTACATGTACAGCTCGACATACTCTAAAATCTGGCCGTATCAGAATTTTTTCAAATGGAAATTGATAATGGGTATATGGAATCATACTTCTGGAGTCTTAAAGGCACTGATGGATATTAGATCCGTAATAAGCATCAAAATTTACACTTAATCAAGTATGTCAAGAGAAAAAAAAACGGTTGAACATCAGAGCTGGTTCCCTCGCAAGTCTGTATATCTGTGTTTTATATATATATATTCAGCTGTTCCTTTATAGCATGATTTAAGTCGCAATTTCTTCAGAAGGGAAAGCATAGAGCTAACAATGGAAGGAGAGTGCGCTTCTGAATGTGTGTGAACTTCTTGAACATTTTTGCACAGTATTGTACTGTATACTCTATATGGCCAAAAAATTGGATATACAACCAGATAGAATTCTATATATTTCTTAAAAATTCTAGAGAATTGTAGAATTTTGAACTTTTTCGCTTACATTTTGGAAGAACGTTGGAGGTCTGTCCGTCCTTACAGGACAAGGGTTGGGAGTAGAGAATTCAATCAGATGTAGTGACAGGCTTCGGCAAAGATAGCTGAAAGACACTTGAGACGTAATAATCTTATTGAGTCCTATCAGTATGAAGCAGACTATGACAAAGGTATAATTAAATACGCGTATGTCGGTAGACTTACGAGAGAAGGTCCCTAGCTGATACCCTCCGATTTCGATGACCTTTTGCCGATAGATACTATATGATGTCCTAGTCTTAACATCCAAAGGATTTGGTTGTATAGCTCTTCTTTCAAAAGTTATGGAA